AACTCGTCGAGTACCGGTTTTGTAGACACAATTATAGAACAATAGGTTGCGGTCACCGGTGACCGCTTGGTATTTGACAGTTTAAAAGGCTCAAAGTTTATCAGAGGCCGCTGCTGTCCACTCTCTGTTAGATGTGTAGTGCTTTAATCTGTTCTTAATTAACGCTGGAAATAGGAATGACGACGGTGTCTGAAAAACTTATTTAGGCAAAGAAAATATTAGACACTTCTATTTTATTTTGTCGCATAAAAAAAAATACTTAGATAAAACGAAACAAAGTTTAAGAGTGGGAGCTAAAACGTTGTGTCTACGTATAAAACGTACTTAGAAGTGACGTCACGCGATTTTTCAAATCAATATATCGTCGAAAGTATTGGTTGCTGTGAGAAAATAAAAAATACGTGTCTAATGTGTTAAAATCATCATCGCTCATCGTTCGCTTAATAAAATTGACGTGTAAAAGTGCTGCCTTGTAGCCTATTTGCAGAAATAAATTCACTTGTTTCACTAAAATAATCTACCGGACATTGAAATAATGTCATCTATCCTATAACTAATTTCGACAAAACCTTTTTGGAAATCGAACCAACAAAACTATGTAACTGGAGAATTGTATCGTGAAACTGATTGAAAAAGAGTAACCTATGAAGTTTCTTGCTCGTTCTTCTCCATAGGAATGAGTAAATAGTAACTTAACTTTTAAATGATGTTGTTGACGTTCAAAAGTGCCTTACTGGGTGATAACTCTTGAAACGAATCTTAATGTCAATGCAATTTCAATCCAATAAAATCTCAATAATTATTCAATGTCAACACTCTACAACCCTTATCGCAGGTGTTAAAATAGCATTCAGAGTACGGAATATAAAGCCAAACTCAATACCATTTAGTTCATTCAATATACACGCAATACGGATGCAATGGGCGCTGGTGTTGCAACACAAGAGTACGAAACTTCAGTCTTCACCAATGTCAATGTCGATCGATCAGAATTACATTCAAGAGTAAGCCCCCAGGTCTAATTGGAATAAATGACTTTGACTTTAGTTTTAAAATAGTTTATACTATAGGTAATTCTGTCTGCACATAACATTGTGATCTTATCAATTTACGTAAATTAGAACTAACGTAGGTACCTACTTAGATATTAAATTTTCTAAATTTACCTACATTTACCAATTTTAATATTCAAATGCATAAATGTACATACAATTGTGACAGACAAAGACGTGTACGAATTGTGTAGATGTAATTCATATGCTGAAGTTATGTTTAATTGCCAGGCAAGGGGTCTCGGGTTCGATGCCCGGGTAGGGCCAAGTATTACTGGGTTCTAAAAAAAATCTCTGTGGTAGCAAGGAGTCTGGAATTGTGCCCGGTATATGGCAATAGGCTCAACCCTATTACATGGGACTCATAATATAAAATAGTGAAAAGTGTGTGGGTTACATGGTACAGTGGCATTAAGTGCCGTAATGTGCACTTCCGTTTACCCCTTCGGGGATAAAAGGCGTGACGTCATGATATCTATATAAAAATAGCTTAAGTTCAAGTTCATCAGCAGATGAATGGAGAAATGAACGAGTTAAAAACGTGAACCAGCCTTTTAAATAGATAACAAAGGTTATAGTTAACATGTGAATTGCCTAGATGACGTTGTGACCTAGTTTTAGATCGTAGGCATATAGTATTAGAGCTGGATTTTCCTTAAAGGGGTCGACGGAGGTGTGTCTCATTCATTTTGCTTCCTATTTTATTGTTATTGTATAATTTCGAGGGCATACTACTGTAAAAATGAAAAACAAACACCCCAATATAATAGCTTTTACTTATCAAAAGACGCTTTTACCCGCGCTTTGCTTCGCACGCGTCACATAAGGATAAAAAGTAGTATGTGACATATACCAATACACACAGCGCCATCTATACCAATACTTTTGTTTTTCCTCAGGAATATCAAATATTTCCGGGATAAAAAGTACCCTATTATTTAATCCAGACTTCTAACTTTACGTCTGCAAAAATTCAAAGTAATCGGTTTAGTAGTTACGGCGTGAAAGCGGAACAAACAAACAAACAAACTCACTTTTCAATTTATAATATAAGTAAGGAATATATTGACACAGTACCTATAAAAAGGGCATTTAAGACACCCATTCGTTGACAGAACTCAAATTTAATTCCAAAAGAAGGATATTTTGTCATTTCTCAAACGAAATACCACATGAAAACAATTCTCATTAAATTCAACGTACAACCAAACAGACAACAAGACACACAGACTTATATTTGTAAGGATGGGACACAGTTAGACTGTAAAAACGTCACGGAAAGGCGAAAGGTTAAACGTATTCCTGTTATGTGCGCATAGATCATATATTAAAAGCAGTTAGGCATTTAAATAGATAGTAACAGTCACTATAGTGTGAAAGGAAGATGCAAAAGTCATGTTTAATGCATGAGTAGTAAGGTTCAAGATGCTGTGTTATGACAGCTAAGTAGAATATATTTCGACACCACCGGTGGTACTCCTCTCGTTATTGTCCTAAGGAACTACACAGCCCGGGCAGCAGCGTTCTTTGATGACCCTGATCATTTTATAGTAAATACAGGGATAGTGGTTTGGGTCCCACAGCATTTAGATTAAGGATGTCGAAAGGGTTCTGCGCAGTTGGCTTCAGCCCCTCGTACGCCTTACAAATGACCGGGACCCCGCGGTCCCGTGATTGGTAAAGACATACATAATAATCATAATAATAGAACAATATATTTATTTGCCTTAAATCATGGTATGATCAAGGTGTTACAAAAATATGGTTAAAGTGTAGCATGTTTAGCTAATATTTCTATAGCATGCAAAAACAGAAAAAGTTCAAAGATTGATCCTAGGCGTGAGTTTAATTTTCTCTGCATGAAATCGCTTACATAATAATAGGGATGATGACAGGGTATGAAAATTAAAAATCTATTTAGTCCGTCAGTTAGGTAATGAAAAAATATTAAACACGTATTTTTTTATTTTGTTGTATAATAAAATGATACTTAGATATACATAACGAATCAAAGTTTAAGAGTAGGGGCTAAAACATCATTTCTACGTATAAAATGTACATAGAAGTGACGTCACGCGACATTTCAAATCAATATAACGTAAAGTATTCGTTTCTATAAGAAAATAAAAAATATGTGTCTAATGATTTAAAGTAGGTAATCTACCAGACGGACATTAAAATCAAAATTAGTCATCTACCCTATTCTTCTGCTCATTAAGCCATTTCTGCAATTTATGCTTAAATACATTTTTGCTAAGACATTTTAAATATTTTTTTGGAATATTATTATAGATACGGATACACATAGCCAAGCAATCACTATTATACTTTGCGGATGCGGATAAATCTAAAAAATTATCGTGGATTGACATTGTTCGCAGTTTTAATTCAATATTTAAAACTGCGATATTTGATTCACAAAAAAAAAAAGAAAAAAAAAAGACGTGGACTTTATGGCACTTTTTGTATAGATGGGGCGCCATCAACCAGTAGTGAACTGTTTATTACAATTCCTATTTTATGGTAAATATATTATAATAGGACAAATGAAGGCTGCAACTAAGATTTCGAACGGCCTCGACATTCTATTAAAAATTAAAAAAAAGATTGTACGCTGTTTCAGGATAGGGAACTTCCACTACATCAGGCTTACGTGAAATTTTGTACTCTTGAGTTGCAACACTAGCGCCCATTGCATCCGCATTGAGTGGATATTTAATGAACTAAATGGTATTGAGTTTGGCTTTATATTCCGTACTCTGAATGCTATTATAATAGCTACGGTAGTGGTTGTATAGTTTTGACATTGCATCATTTCTGAGATTTTATTGGATTAAAATTGCATTGACATTGAGATTGGTTTCAAGAGTAAGCACCCTGTTGACTGGGCATACATGAGCAAGACTATGTGAGGTGCTAAATTCACATAGTGCGTTTTTATTGCAGTGATTCGTTAACAATGAAACAGTTCCAAGTACTTGTATCTAGTTTTAGTACCAGTTTTTGTCGGCATAACGAGTATGAAACCTTAACCCATTTAGATCTCCTTTCACTATTAACAGATATTATATAGAACTACGGTCGTTGTTATAGAACCTAACTAAATACCTTCTAATTGAGAGGTCCAGGCATTTTATAACCATATTTCAGATTAACCTTCCTTAATATAAGTACATATATTTATTCATTACAACTTTAGTTTTTGCTTCGAGACTGCCTCTTTGACCGAGTGTTCACTAGTGCGACTGCCGGACAAGGGGTCTCGGGTCGGGTGCGATTCCTGGGTCGAGCAAAATATTACTGGGTGTTTAAAAACATCTCAGTAGTAGCACGGAGTCTGGAATTGTGCTTGGTATACAGCAATAGGTTCAGCCCCATGAAATTCATAACACAAATAGTGAAAAGTTGGTATTTCATTGTACAGTGGCATTAAGTGCCGCAATGTGCACCTTTGCCCACCCCTTCGGGGATAAAAGGTTCGTGATATGTTATATTGTTATTAACTTTAGTTTCTTGGAGGATTAGATACAACATATAGAATATAGACACTTTTTTTTAAGGGGGGAAAATCATCGAATGATTTCTCCCAGTCTGGGTTAGGCGGTAGGGAGTGCCTGATTCTTACGGACTAAAAACCACCCCGTTCCTTCTCCGGCACTTCGAGCCGAAGCCACGGTAACCCGTTATGTTCTCCGCGACTTCGAATCGACATCAGCCCTATTGGGCCCAATCCGTGGTGGTCTGATAGCTCTTTGAGGCGCGTGCGGAACGCGACGCGCCGTATGCTCGGGTCTGGTTCAGGGTGCTTACTCTTGAAACCAATCTCAATGTCAATGCAATTTCAATCCTGTTGTGTATCTGTGGTATACTCTATGGTCATAGTATAGTCTATGGTGATAGATTATCTATGTGCGTGGCGGAGCCCGCGATTTTGTAAAACAATTGAAGACGAATAAATGTGTGTGTCGATAGCTTTCTCTCTTTTACTTATAATTTGTTTGCTTAAATAACATACTTAACATTGGCGACGAGTTTACCCACACATTTTAATTCCAAAATGAATAATTTTGGAATTTTGTCCACGTTCGATCACAATGTGCAAGAATGGAAGTCATACAAAGGCCGAATTACGCAATGGTTTATTGCAAATGATATCGTCTCGAAAAATGATGCAGTTGGAGCCAAGAGACGGGCGATCTTGCTCAGCGCACTAAGCGACGGTACTTATAAGTTGGCGGCAGACTTGGCACTGCCGAAGGATATCCAAGAAGTACCGTATGATGAGTTAGTGCAATTATTGGATGAGCATTTTCTCCCAAAGATATGTGGATTCAGCGAGCGTTACAATTTTTATGCGGCTGTGCAGCAGCCGGGTGAGTCGTACACGCAATGGGCGTCCAGGCTGAGAGGACTTACAGCACATTGTAAGTTTAGTAACGTCGAGGAAGCGTTACGAGATCGATTCGTCATGGGCATGGTAGCGGGACATGAACGGGAGAAGCTGTTCGCGCAGGACATCGACAAGCTGACCCTGGCCAAGGCAGTAGAACTGGCGGAGAGCGTGCGCTGTGCGCGTGCGGGTGCCGCTAGTACTACGGTGGTCCACGGGCAGCAGGCGCCGGTCTTCAAGATCTCCAATCAAGGAAACAGTGCTAAAATCGTTAGTGCCGGTAAAATAAAGTGTACAGTGTGCGGTCGTAATAATCACGAGTCATCCCAGTGTCGATTTGCAAGCTATAAATGCAATAAGTGTAACACCAAGGGTCACCTGCGTAAAGTTTGTAATAAGGTGAATTACGTGTCAGCGGGTGATGTGAGCGGGGATGACGACGACGGTAAGTCATTGTTTAACATACGCTCAGTCCGTGGGGAACCAATGACGGAATCAGTTTCAATTTATGGGAAGAATTTAAAATTTCAAATAGATAGTGGATCAGCGGTGACGGTTATATCCGAAAGTACGTATAAAAACATGTTCAGTAATGTTCCGTTGCTAGATTCAAATAAAAGTTTTTTTAGTTACACTGGCAATATTATACATTGTGTTGGATACGTAAACTTGCCAGTGACGTACATGCAACACACTCACTCACTGGATGTATACGTCATCCGTAACGGCGGACCACCGTTATTAGGCCGAGATTTTATATCAAAATTTAAACTTAATCTGACGCCTTGTCACTTTCTGAGAGGTCAGAGTATGGTGGACCAGTTGCAATTAAGATTCCCAGAACTATTTTCTGATAAGCTTGGTACCTTTAATAAATATCGTGTTAAATTAAAATTAAAGGATAATGTGAAACCGATATTCTGTAAAGCGCGTCCAATTGCGTTCGCGTTGCGTGATAGGGTGGACAAAGAGTTAACACGTTTAGTTGATCTAGGTGTCCTGAAACCGGTATCGCACTCTGAGTACGCGTCACCTATTGTTCCCGTGCTGAAGCACAACGGCTCGGTTAGGTTGTGCGCCGACTATTCGGTTACTATTAACAAACAGCTATTGATAGAACAATATCCTTTACCCACGGTACATGAACTGTTTTCAAGACTGTACGGAGGTCAACAGTTCTCAAAAATCGATTTGTCTATGGCCTATAATCAGTTTGTGTTAGACGAAGAGTCCCAACCAGTTACATGTATTAATACACATCGAGGTCTATTTAATTATACTCGACTAGTTTTTGGGTTGTCTAGCGCCCCGTCTATATTCCAACGCGCTATGGAAACAATACTTTCGGGACTAGACGGTGTCTTATGTTTGCTTGACGACATTTTAGTCACTGACCAAACCCCTGAGAGGCATTTGAAGAAGTTGAACATAGTTCTGCAAAGGCTTCAGGATGCGGGGTTAACAGTGCAAAAAGAAAAATGTGAATTTTTTAAAAATGAAATTAAATATTTAGGTTATATAATAACCAAGGACGGGTTACAGAAAGACCCTGCAAAGGTTAAAGCTATAGCTGAGGCGCCTGTTCCTTCCGATATTAATACCCTACAGTCATTTTTAGGACTGGTAAATTACTACAGAAATTTTGTGGCTGGGGCATCCTGTATCCTGAGTCCTTTGTATGAACTATTAAAAAAAGGAGTAAAGTGGAACTGGTCTACGTTACATCAACATGCATTTGATAAAATTAAGAAATGTTTAACGTCTGATCAGGTTCTAACACACTTTAACCCAAATGCCAAAGTAGTGTTAACTGTGGATGCGTCTCCGAATGGCTTAGGAGGTATTTTGTCTCAAATAGATAAGGACGGGTTAGAGCGCCCAGTAGCATTCGCTTCCCGCACATTGAACGCGGCTGAGAAAAATTATTCACAAATACAGAAGGAAGCGACTGCAATAATATTTGGTATACGTCGGTTCCATCAGTACTTATACGGGAGATCAGATCCTTTTATATTACGCACGGATCATAAGCCATTAATATCTATCTTTGGTCCTCATAAAGGTATACCAGAGGTATCCGCTAACAGATTGCAGAGATATGCGATGTTTTTAGGGGCATATAATTACGTAATTGAGTATGTTCGTAGTGCTGATAACAACGCGGATTACCTTTCTCGGGCAAGTTTGCAGTGTGAGTCAGGACGTGATCGTGCCATGAGCGAGGGAGACAACATCGGCGTACACGCCGCCGCGGCCGCCGCCCCCATTGATCGAGCATCATATGTCAACTTTGTTGTCGAAGGCGACATGCCGTTGACTTTGAAGGAGTTACGTAATGCCACTAATGAGGATACGGTTTTACAGTTAGTTGTGAAATATGTTCAAAACGGTTGGCCTAACAAATTAGTGAACTCACAGTTAAAACCATATCATTTGTGTAAGACACAATTGTCCTACGAAGATGGTTGTTTGATGAGGGGCCACAAGGTGGTACTTCCCGAAGCATTGCGATCGAAGGTTTTAGCAGAGTTACATACTTCACATTTAGGCATGGTAAAAACGAAATCAGAAGCTAGGTCACGGTTTTGGTTCCCAGGCATTGATGCGGCGCTGGAAAGAATGATACATTCGTGTGAAATATGCAAACAGCTACGGCCGTCGCCGCCCCGGGCACCCCTAGCACCTTGGAAGTTTCCACTTACACCATTTCATAGATTACATATAGACTTCCTCGGCCCGTTGAATAATCAAATGTTCTTGGTAGTGGTAGATGCTCACACTAAATGGTTAGAAGTGTACGACGTGAGCAACTCTACCGCTTCGGCGACTGTTGTTGAAAAACTCTACGATTTTATGTCTAAATATGGATTACCTCACGTAATTGTTAGCGATAACGGTACTGCGTTCACATCCGCTGAATTCACAAAATTTTGTTTATTAAATGGGATTACTCATCTTACATCACCCCCTTACAACCCTGCTAGTAATGGACAAGCAGAAAGCTTCGTAAAAATTGTAAAGAAGGGTATAAAATCAAGTATTTTAGGTTCTCGCAGTAGGAATGAGTGTAAATTAAAATTGTTAAAGTATTTGTTCGATTATAGAAACTCGGTGCATTCCGTCACGGGCTTCTCACCCGCTGAGTTAGTGTTTGGGCGAAAACTCAGAACACGTCTGGATTTAATCCACCCAAAGTTAACGTCTACCCCACTCACATCACTAATTAACGATGTTAATAAAAAGCAGTGCTCGCAAATTAAGTACTATGGTGGTAATAACAAACATGTGTATGAACCGGGAGATGAAGTCATGTTTAAAAAATATATGAACAATTCTAAATATATGTGGTGCAAAGGTACCATTATTAGAAGACTCGGTAAAGTGTTGTATTTGATCAAAGACCACATAACTTCAACAGATGTCAAAAAGCATAAAAATCAAATAGTTGTGTATAAAGGTATATCTCAACCAGTAGATTTAGATGATGTATTGTTAGACGACGAACCCAGGGACTCTCAGTTGCTTGATAGTGGGGAGAGAGGAAGGAACGAGGTGGAATTGTCATCCTCAACTTCTCCCCAAGATATGAGATGTTCCAGCAAACTGTTGCGGGACATACCCAGGGTTGATTACAAGCAGTTCTTTTAAGATTTAGTTGTATTTTTCTATTAGTGCATTTAATAAGGGGAGGGATTGTTGTGTATCTGTGGTATACTCTATGGTCATAGTATAGTCTATGGTGATAGATTATCTATGTGCGTGGCGGAGCCCGCGATTTTGTAAAACAATTGAAGACGAATAAATGTGTGTGTCGATAGCTTTCTCTCTTTTACTTATAATTTGTTTGCTTAAATAACATACTTAACAAATCCAATAAAATCTCAATAATTATCCAATGTCAAAACTATACCACCCCTATCGTAACTGCTAAAGTAGCATTTAGAGTACGGAATATAAAACCAAACTTAATACCATTTAGTTCATGAAATATCCACGCAATACGGATGCAAACGGCGCTAGTGTTACAACACAAGAGTACGAAATTTCACAATGTCAATGTCGATCGATCGGAATTGGATTCAAGAGTAAGCACCCTGGTCGGGCGGAAAGCCACCCATGCTCGCCGTCACCAGGCCCGCGCTTACGGTGGCCGGAGATCGTCCCGCGAGAATATAGACAGTATTATGATTAATTATGTCATTAATTGTAATATGATCATCATAATATTAGCCACAAGATGTCTACTGCGTCAGGCCTGTGATTTACAGATCGATAAAAACTTGGAAGCGACCTGCATCCAGCAGTTCCTTTTGACCTTTATCAGCTGTTTGTACCGACCTTGACAATGAACTCGAAAGACTTTATAAATACTGCAGATCGGTATTAAAGTTTATCTGGATTAAGGAGAACGATATTTTTTCCTATTATTATCATCTATCATAGCTGCTAAACAAGTTATTTTACACAAAAGGACATAAAAATATTTAATGTGTTTTTTGTAGCTGCACGAAGTTGTATGACAAGGTATATTAGAAAATACTTGTATTGCATGACAAAATCACTATCACTACATAGTATAATACAAAGTCGCTATCCGCCGTCTGTCTGTCCCTATGTATACTTAGATTTTTAAAACTACGCAACGGATTTGATGCGGTTTTTTTTAATAGATGTAGTGATTCTTACGGAAGATTTATATGTATAATACATGCATATTGCTCCCGTGGGAAGCCGGGGCGGGTCGCTAGTAGTTTATATAATAGAATGTCAAACATGTTTGATGCGAAGAGCTGAATACCGAGCTCAGTAATGTGCTATTGGAAAGGCCCATGTCCAGCATTGGATTGTTAATGTTCAAATTATACTGTGTTCCAACTACAGGCCCTTTTGGACACTTATGGTGGGTTCTGCTAGGGGTGAATCTGACCTTATACCGTGGCCAGATTGGGATTGAAATTGCAATCGAGTAAAACAGAATCGTGCAATTCCGCGCCACTTATAAGTCGGTTGGATCCCGCTGTGCCGTACCTTTAAGAAGGAAGATTGAACGAGATGCGGGTTCGGAATCCCTAATTGGGACGAAGTGGTTTTTAGTCAGCAGGAGTCTAACATACTCTTCTGCATCACACAGAGCGGGAAGCTTTATTTGACGGTTGTCGAGCATCACAATAAAAGAACTGTTGATGTTGACCTTGAAAAGGTCTGGCTACTAGACAAAGACTATTAGATAATATTGTCAGTTTTTTATGGAATAGAGAAGGTAAACGAGCAGTCAGATTACCTGATGGTTAGCGATCAGCGCCAACCATGGACACTAGAACACTAAAGGAGTCACAAGTGCATCACATATATATAACCTCAGGCCTGTCTCCCATGGGGTTGCGCAGAGACTTTGGAATGTATATTCCTACGATCCTTACATACCTCTTTCACTTCATCAACAGTCATGCAGTCTTTTCATGGATGCTCGTCGGTTAGGGATTTTTTTATGGGACAAGCTCCTAAAACCGCTGCAACTCCTGTGCACCAGAATCTACAGTAGATACAACCATGAAAACAACGGAATACTGAAGTCCGGCGCGTCCCAGGGACATGAATAACTGTCTTGGTTCCCGCAACGAAGTGAATCAGAAGATAAGAGTGATCAGAGACAAGTGATAAGAGGAGAAGAAAAAAAACGATATTTTCCACTTCCCTCGGTGAATTACTGCAGGAGACATAGTGAATTAAGCCTAAAGGCACAAAGAAAAGAGACTATACAACTGGGTGAAGCCCAGTTGCCAAACACCAGTCGGTTAAGGATACTTTTATTTAGCCCTTTGATATGGACGTTTAAGAAGGAGTTCCGCTATATAGTTAACAATTTTGAACATCAAAATAACCCCCCAGTGATTATATAAAAGACACAATACCTATTTAATATAATCTATCTACAGTTTATCTCAGTCAGTTGACATTTGACATAATAATGTGTAGGTAAAGTTGTAATATAAAAATATAGCTTCGAGGTCGTGTTACCGGGACCAAAATATATTGAAATAAATGACTGGTCTGTATACGAAATTTCATCAAAATCCGTTAAGCTGTTTTTGAGTAAGAGAGTAACATATGACATCGGTGTTCATCAAAAGTCGTTCACGAACTTTTCACGTGAATATGAAAAGCTGAAGAACGAGTTTAGTGGATTATTGGACAGGGTTATGTACATGAGAGGAACGAAACACAGGCTGATATGACGATAATTAATCTCTACGGCATATTGATGCTTATTTAATAATTTAATCATGTCATAAAGCATTCTAGTTATCGTGTGAAATCTATTTCGTTTTCGTCCCGAAGTAAAATGGTGCTGTCTTGGCAATTACAATAGTTTTACAAAGAAATAAAATGTTTAAAACCAAAAACCAACTCGTGAACCATTGCAACAAGCAAACTTCGAAAGCGCATACGAACTCATAGTACATTATCAAAACATCACGCCATGTATTTCTAGTTTCGTGGCACGTGCGATGCGAATAGTGGCTACAAATTTACGTTCTAGTGTTTCATGTGCGTATATCTATCAATTTTTTTTTAAACTAAAAAAAATTCACCGCCCTTTTTTCCACCTCCTTTTTGGGTGTTAAAAAACCGAGAGACATATAATAGCTAATAATCCAGTTGAACTGTACAATACACAGACGAAATCCAACCTATGTGCTATCCAGGAGTATAGTCTATCGCTGTACCACACCACATTTTGTTCCAATCAGCCGTTTAAGAGTTTTTAACCACCTATAATACTAACAATATATTGTTAGACACATAAATACTTAATATTAACTTCCCGTATCATCATCATCATCATCATTGCAGAACAATTTGTCAAAAATATCTCTTCAAATTTTTATACGGAAAAAGCAACTCCTAATGACAATTTTAACGACCACATTTCGCTAAATACTCATGAAGTGTCTGTACATAAGTAATTTGTTAGTATTAAAAATTCAACATTACTTCGGTGGCCAATTAAATCGTACGTTTTGAACTTTGTACGTTGTTTTCCAATATTTAAGTATTTGATGGCATCTACTTGGAAGCAACCGGTTCTTATTTGCTAAAGTCGTCGTCAGCATTCGTCTCTGGATATTTCTCTGCAGTATCTACCAGTTTTAAGTGGAAACACCGTTTCTTTTTATATATAACGGATATTTTCTTCTACATTATACAAAACGAAGACAATTTCGTAAGCATGACTTAGCTTGTTAGCTCGATTTATTCATTAATTCCACAAATTGTTTTAAAAAATTCGAAATTAATTTATATCTACTAGCTTCATAGTGCAAAAAGTGTAGTAATTAACACTGTATGTATATATTCATTTTACTATTATTGTATTCTAATATAAAATAATACTTGAGTGTAAAGACACTTTTAGTTCCACGTACTTTCGCTGAGTGCCACCTAACCGATTTACATATTACAAAGCAAGCTACAGTTAACTATAAATAATAAGAAAAAAATATCACTCACTTTTAAAATAATATCGCTGGCGTGCGATTTCAAATCCAGATAATATTGAACAAAAAATAATATTAATTAATATCCACGCGCGGTTATCACTCGCGGTATATTTTCGAATTTACAACGACGCGTCCGCTCCGTGCGGCTTCCAGCGCGCGACTGATATGACGAAAAACGATAGGTAAGTGGCGTGCGCGCGCGCATACATAATTTAGTGTGGTGCGTTCCGTTCCCTCGTGCGACGACTATGACGGGTGCATGAACCGTTATCGTGAGGTTGGGCCAATTATTGAGGTGATCTTTAATATTACATTTTTTGCCAAAACAATATATTACATGGTCTGATCTGATGACATTTCATCTATAAACAGACAAGAATAACTGTTATTACTTATAATTAAGGATCAATTTCGATGATGGATTTGCAAAAAAAGCCCTTGAGTCAAGGTGAAAGTCACTACAGCATTCCACTTGTCTCTGAAGCAGTTTATGCAATTTATCTTGGGTCATGTGACGTCATATCTTCATACACGATGTCTGAGACCATGACACTGACATTGCTGAGAATCAAACCTTACTTTTAAGCGTAGGTCAACTTGATATCCGACCATTAGGTAATCTATTGACTAAATTTAAAATTACTAGCTGTTTTAATCGCCATAACAGAAATGACATATCTATCACTAGCCCATGATAATCCATGGACAGGATTTTAGGCCATGAGATGGTCTGCCATAATTCTCCATCGCTGAAAAGGCGAGTTAGAGCTCGTAGTTTTGCGGTTTAAAAGGTTCAGGTTTATTAGAGCGGTCTTCTTTCAAATGTGTAGTCCCTTAGTCGGTTCTTACGACAGATGGGAAGTAGGTGACAAATGTATGCCGAAGTCACAAGATATGATGAATCTCTACTAATATAATATAGTAGCTGTTTTTTTTTTTGAGATTACCAGTTTGATGTGATCTTTTTGTGTCTGGGAATTGGTCGTTAATTAAAACTATTGTGATTATTTTTTGTTTTAATTCTTAAAATTTGCCGTAAATAAAACTAAGAGATGCTTTAAATATAATAATTGTTCTGAACTTGGATTTATTGACAAAAGTCTATTCGGAAAGGTTTTCCTGAATTGCCAAGCACCAGAAATCACTAAACCTTTTAATGCCATAAAGTCCTGAGCAGTACCCGACTCTGACAATACAAAATGGATAAAAACTGAAAAAGGATGAATGGATTTGCCTTGTTTTTTAGGAACAAAGTCATTTTGT